TGCTTAGGAGATTTCATTCATTTGGTTGCTCTTGTTTTGTACATAAATACTGAAGCTTTTCATTCATGAATAGAAGAAAAACATACATTTTCTCAGTTAAAGTGAGACATTGAGTAATGCGCATCACGGACTTTCCAATTATCATTGTGAACTTTTCAAGGATATGAATGAAAACAAAAACTATTTTATCCACTTTTCTTTCTTAAGCCATTTTATCAAGAGGAAAGTGGCAGTAGTTGGGTACTAATTTTGGGCAACACTTCCCCAAGTCCCCGACGCTTTGCTAATATTCAAATACCAATGAAAAAATCTAGAGGTTACGGATTTTTAAGATTGGTTGGTAGTTTTGAAAATCACTTTTCTGAAAAATTTAATTGTAAAGTTTAGTGATTATCATGGTGTTAATATATTATTAATAATGACAGCCTATAAAAATTCATAGTATTATATAAGAAAACATATTTGTCAATCTTACTGTAAAAAAATAATAAAAAAATATTTTAAATTTATATTATTTTAATTAATTTTTATTAAAAAAATATTATAATATCTTAATTTTAAAATAAAATGATATTATTTTACTTTTTTAATTTTATTTTATTAAAATAACAAAATTTAAAGATTTTTTTAATTTTTTACAAATTCAATTGCTACTCATTAAGATGGTATTATATATCAAAAGATAACTATTGTATGACACAAAATTTTTTACGACCAATAAAAGAAAATATGATTTTGAGGCACTTTTTGTTTTTGTAACAATTTGTCAAGATAAGAATCAAACAACTTATTAAAAAATAAGCATCCACAAAAAATTAGGCAAAAGGTGTAGATCACCCCCTTAACTCACCTACTAGTGGCAAATCACCCCCTCAACCCATTTCACGCGCATACTACCCCCTCAACTCACTTTCAGTGGCAAATCACCCCCTGGCACCATTCTTCCGTTAGCTTTTAACAGTCCGTTAACCCACCCCTTTTTTGCGTCTGATGTGGCATTTTTATGCTGAGATGGACAAGCCACCTGGACAAATCATCCTCAGGCAATGCCCGGTACTGCCGCCGACGTCAACCAGGCGTTGGATCCCATCAAACCCACTGTAGGCTTCTAGCATTGCTTTCATGAAAGGCACAGAGACTCCCGACATAGCCTTCTACATCAACCCAGTCATCTCCGGCCTTTTTCCGTAGTAAGTGTACGCCGGCTCACCGTTCACCTTCACGAATGGTTCCGATGTCAGATCCACCACCGCCTCGTGAACCAATGGCCATGTCTTTATAAGGACCCGGCGACTCAGGAAGTGGTGTACGACAGAGATCAGGGGGTTCTTGTCCCTCCGCCTCATTCTGGCGGCCGAGCAACGTCTCCCAAAATCGAACAGCTGAGATATTTGTTTATCTCCACGAGAGCCATAGCGGAGTCGAGGAGATTGATTGAGCACAATGATCTGACCAGCGCGAATCACCTGTTGGCTTCGTCTCGAGCATTGCTGGTTCAGTCAAACTCAATGTTGGCTGAGGAGTACATAAGAGCTCTGGAGGCAGAGCTAGCGGAATTGCAATGGAGGAGACAACAGATGGTGGAAGTCCAACGGAGGAGGACGAACGAGAGGGAGGCAATGCCAGTCGTGATGGGCGAGAATGGGGAGCCGCTTACGCCGACATCCGCTTGGAGAGCGGCCGAGAAGCTAGCTAAGGTAGCCATCATGAAGAAGTTGATGAATCGAGTTAGCGATTTGCACGGCTTCGAAAATGCTAGATTTTAGTTTTTTTTTTTTCCTTTTTTTTTTCTAAAAAAAAAGAAGAAGAAATCATGTGAAAAAAAAAAAAA